ATATATATATAGTTTATATTTACATTGTCACACATGTTATCACAATATTTTCTATATAGTTTCAAGTATTTAACGAAATAACATAGTCGTGGAACAGTAAATTATTCAATCAAATAACAAAATAAATAAAATTCATTTACTCTAAAAAATGTACATCAACTATTCACAGAAAAAATATACGTTCAAATGTGCATAAGCATAAAATAATACTCCTCCTAATCATCATCCTTTATCTCGTCAACTTCATCCTAATCGTTCTCCATTGCTTCCTCCTCCTCCAATGTTGTCACTGCCTTGCCACTCTCCTTTATCCACTGCTGGAAGGAATCCAACTCAGCCTTTAGCTTGGCCTCCATGTTGGCCTACAACTCCGACATCATTTGAGAGAAGTGGGCCTCCATCTCCACGGAGAATGTCGCAACACGCCTAAAGATCTCCACGTCTTGTGTGATAGAGGTAGAAGCTGCAGATGCGTCTGTGGAGGGGTGAGCTTTTTAGGCAAACCGCTGTGACCCAAACCTGTAGACCCAACCCGTCTACCTCCCTCTAGTAGCCTCCATCCATAAGCCATACTCAAAAAGATCACACTCACATATCGTAATATCTCCTAACATCTGGGATCAGATCTCCTTTAGTTGTTTGAATATCTCTTGAAAACAAAAGTAGTTACATTCAACTCCAACTAACATGTATTAATATCAAACTAGTTTAGCTCATCAATTATTTGTGTCGCACAGGATCTGTCATCGATCCATGACTAGTCAGACCACCTCCTGTGGGTGCGCTCATGTACATAGGCGGCAGAGGGCTCTCATCCAATCTTCACATTCTGTCCATAAAATGTAATAGTTTGAATACAACTTCAAGCAATATAAAACCTTATAGAATAAATTAAACCGTACCAGTCTCTAATTATATTTTGTATGTGGGAGGGCTCCACCAGTGTGCTTGGATGGCCCCATGCCTCCATAGTCCTACCCACTATTTTGATTTGCCTACTCCATCTTCTTATGGTAGTCCGGAGAATCACAGACCCTAAGCAGTGTGGCAAAAACATCCACTCTAGGCTATAGAGGATGTTGACACCATTTCCATATTTCATCAAACTTATTCCAGAGGCGATCACTGCCCATGCGCTTGATGTTTCATCGGATGTGTGCCTTGTACTCAGAGCGTCAGGAGAATTATTTATGTAAATTTTACAGTGATTATGCTTAATTAAGAAATACATTAAAAAACCTAAGTTATTAGTGAACCATACTTACTATAAACTCCTAAAACTAAATATCTCGAATGGTCATCGTACCTCCTTCAATGATAAGTGCGCTGAGCCATACTTGCACCGAATGATATCTTGAATGGCATGAATAGTTGACACAACTAAAAATGTGTTAATTTTGTATATAAATTTTATACTCATTTTTAATTAAATTTTACTTTAAAGGAAGATATTTTTGCAAGTTTTTTGTTTTAGATACAAGAGATAAGATTTTAGAGAAAAAGAGCAAAAATGGAGCAAAACGGGGTCAAATGGAGCAAAGGAGCACAAAGTAAACTGAGGCCTAAGAGTCATACCCCATACGTGAAAACAGAGAGCCCAGCACCATGGCGTCAGGATCTGGCGCTTAGCCGTCAAGCAGTTATATAGTCTTCTAGAAGGCTGGCACTTATGCTTCAACATTAGTTTTCATCTAAATTCATTGAATTTGTACAAATTTTGAAGGAGCGTCTAAAGTGACTTTTAGAGATTTCAAGGTTAAATTAAAAAGAGACTAAAAAGAGAAAAAGAGAGAGAATTGTTATTGGTAGGAGGTTGATTTGGGTCTCTTGGTTAATTGTGAGAGTCCTTTGGTGTGTGTGTGTGTGTGTGTGTGTGTGTGTCTTGGAGTGAAATTATAAGGAGAATTGAGAATTCATCAAAGGAACTTCAGAGGATTTTCTTGGGGAGAAGTTTAAGATAATTACTTTATATTTTTGTTTAAGTTCTATTTTACTGTGTAAACTTTACTTTAAATATAAATTATGTTTTGTTGTGTTAACCCAGAAAGTCTGCGTAGTTTTCTCCATCTTTCTTCTTGTAATAAGAAATAATCCTGTGTAGGATTAGAATTGTTTAAGGTTTCTATTATTTTATAATCATGATGATTCATTACTTCACACTTAATTTACATTTTCAATATGGTCAATTAGTATGCTAAAAGTTGTTGTGAATCCATAATGGCCCTAGAGGGCCATGTATTCCTCAACTAGTAAGAATCACATTATTCTAGTGGGTGATAAGGCAGTCCATAGTTTAGTGCAAATAGATAGGGAGATAAGTTTTGATGGTTGTAAATTGGTGATTTTACGGTGATAGTCTAGAACCTTAACCAATTTGATCTAGAGTTTGGAACTTAAGGCTAGGTTAGTCCAAAAATTATGGGCACATTGGGTAATCTAGAGTGACCGATTAGAACCTACCCAGCATAACCAAGGATTCAGGAACTTAACTCTAGGTTAACCAATGTTCTTTATGCACTTGGAAGAGGGTAAAGAATAGTTATACTCTTATTTGTCACAATACTACAATTAAACCTTTTAGCATTTGATTCCTACACTAATTATTATCTCATTGCAAGCGGAAAAACTCTCATATAATTTGAACTCTTCTACGTAAATTTAGTTTAGAAACACTTATCTTTTTCTTAAATTTTTGAAAGTGAATTAGTATGATTTAGTTACTTAGTTTGTACACATAAACTTGTGACCTTATTTCATATATAATTATATGGAGTTTAAGTACAATTTTACTAAGTCCATAAAAAGAGTTTCCACCTTACCTATGGAATTGATACTACGGTATAAAGAGAAAATTTTATATTACTTGAATATACATGCACTTGCATTTCAATCCTAGTGAAGCTTTGAAACTAATAATTAGAAAATTTAATACCTCGTCTTTAGGAGTAGCCACTATAAAAATATAAAATAATATTATGAGCACAAAAAAGGAGTTAGGTTTTTGGCACATTTGCCAATGAATAAAATTAAAGAAGATATAAACAAAGCAAGTGCATGTTAGCACTATTTTAGATTGAGGAGTTCCCCGTTGGAAACTGTCGGGCGTTGGAATCAAAATCCTGTTGTCCGTTGATCCTGAAACTACTTATATGCAACAGTACAACAATAATTCTGATTTTATTTTTTTAGTATATTTCCTTATTTCACAACAAAACCAAAAACTTGATTTGAAGAAAAATAAGAATTTAACTTTTAAATTTAAGTTTTAATTGAATTTAAGTTTTAATTTATATATATTGGGATACTACACAACAAATTGTTATCAAGTAATATAGGACTTTTTTATTAGGACTTGAATATCAAACCCACTGGTCGAACCCAAAGAGAAGATATGCAATATGCACTTTTTGGATAACTTTCTATTTTAAA